CGTCGAGAGGTTTCGCGAGAGCAAAGTCGCGCGAACTCGTTGAACGAACGAGACGAAACGAAGCATGTAGGGGTATAATTAAATAGCTACTCGGTACCCCTATGCGAGGAACATTCGCACTAGGAACAAGGAGAACTCGGGTTCAAAGCAAACGCCGTGAAACGGAGCATTTGACACAAGGTGTTAACACGTGTACGGCTTGCCAGACATACCGACCAAGTCGGTCGGTGTACACACAGGCCGCAAAGTGCATGCGGTGTACTGCTATGCGATATCTCGAGGAAGACTTTAGGAATGCCATCGAAGCGTTCGCGTGTCCAAGGAGCAAAATAAAATCGTCGATATTTATCCCGACGCAGCATCGAATACCGAGATCGAATGCATCGGAAAGGAAGCAGTCGCGCGCCAGATATCTATGAATAATAAGAGAAGAAGATGGAAGGGAATGAAAAGTATCAATCGAGTTAATGACGCGACAGCGAAAGAGAAACGAGACGTCGGTTTACGACTCTGCTCTATATTTCCAATTCGGTAATATTTCCCGGAAACCGTCAATCCCCGCAGGAGTTTAAGACGTTCCCCGTTCCAAGCATCCAAGTTTTCATTAATTACTCGAGCCGGTTAATTACGGAATTCCTTTCCGGTGTACATCGGCGTGGAGCATCTCCGGCGCGCAGTAACCGGCGAACGACTCTGCCGAGATTTCCCCCAGACTAAATTTTTCCCGTGCGCTGACACCATTAAACACCGTGAAAATAAATCAGCCTGACCCGTAAATTTCCTCGGTTTATCGCGTTCCTTTTACGCGAGGCGGTATTAAAACGAGACTCTAAACATTTTTCTCCTCCTTCCTTTTTCCTCCCTTACCTACTCGTCGCCGCGAAACACGCACGATCGCGGTGGGACACGGTTTCAACCGGAGATTTCGAAATTTCTCCGCTCGCTCCACTCGAGAAATACGTAGACGAAGAGCGAAAGTGTCTCTCGGCCCTCTTGGACGATCGTCGTTTTCGCGTGTCGCGCTCGTTCTCGCGACGAATACCGGTGGAGAACGGTCGGTCGGCCGAGGACCGAGAAAAGAAACGGACGAGAGAACGTTAAACACGAGACGACCACTCTGAAAATCATCGTACAGCGAGAAAGTGGTTAGAAGGGGTCAAGGGGTGCTCGGCGCCGCTTGCTCCAGTTAAGTCAAACTGCTGACTGTACCGGGTGACGATCCGACAGATGCTTCTGCACATCAAAAGCACTCGTTTTTCTACCACCGTACCCCTGCCATTCGCGAGCCACGACTTCCTCGGATTCTCCTCCTCCTCGTCGTCGTCGTCGTAGTCGTCGTCGTCGTCGTCGTCGTCGTCGTCGAGGAATCCGTCTTTGGAACGACACTTAATGGACGGAAGCTTCCGTGCACCGTTTGAGAAACGTAAACGTCCCTACACTTTGGGGTGGCGAATGATAATAGAGAGAAAGTACAGGTCAAGGAGTACTCCTCTGAAGAGCGGAGTACAACTCGCCGCACACCAAAACCACCCTTCCGATCCGGTTCCCTCGTCCGGCCACTGACACGAACTTACTTCCAGCGAGTGCTCGATAATTCCTTGGCCAGCCTCTGTTTGCGCCACGCCTTTCACCGACGACGCACAGAAATTACCGGTATACGCGATCTCGTAGTTGTTGTTCCTAAGCTGTTGCTAGCAGTTCCGAACCTGCGCCGCGATTTCGATAAGCGAACAAGAACCGAACCGCCAAGTTGCTCGTCGACCCCGGACCAGCGCACCGGTAGCGGTAGCAGAAGCAGCATCCAGCGTCGACTATTTTTTCGCCTTTCTTAACGGCGATCGGATTAATTTCGAACTCGAGGCGTTCGTTCGTACACGTACACGTACACGCACCGGTGCTTCGAAGCGAGCGCAGGAATCGTAATTAATTCGACTAATTTATGAAAAGCGCGAGGGAGGGAAACGGACGAATTCGCGAGGCGGGGGGGGGGGGGAAAGTTCGTACACGTACACGTACACGCACCGGTGCTTCGAAGCGAGCGCAGGAATCGTAATTAATTCGACTAATTTATGAAAAGCGCGAGGGAGGGAAACGGACGAATTCGCGAGGGGGGGGGGGGAAACGGGAAAGAGGGAAGAACGGAAAGCGACAGAGGAAACTGAGAGAGGAGAGAAGAAGTATAAGAGAGAGGAACGAGGAACAAGACAGAGCTCGTTATTCTCCGCTAGAGACAGCCTGCGGAATTCCTGGGGAACAGTTTCGCGTACTATGCGGCCACAATGCGAGCCGACACCCTGCGCGTAAAGCCATTATTATTATTGGCGTTGGTGTTGTTCCATTTTGTTCTATTATGCCGTCGGTTGAGTTTCAAGAAGACCCGTAGGACGCGAGAGACTGGCGCTGGAATGGCGAATAAATTCCGGCATAAATCTCCGTGACTCGTACAATCGCGAAAACGTCGCCTGTTTAAAAGCACGCTCGAATTGTTCCACGCTCGATCGCGTTCGAAAATCAGCCCGAGCACGATTCAACCCCCGGAGTTGTGTTCTCTATTCGGGTCAGCCATTCGGCCGGCAAATGAACGGTTGAAATATTCAAAGGTAATCGCGACGCGTGCGCCAGCCGTGCGCTATTAACATGCGAAAATTTATCGCCATCTCGATTCAGGCTAGATCCGTTCGCGGACACGGCCGATCGGCCCTACGAAAATGTACAGGCTGGCACGTTTCTACCCGATATCGTTCACCCGAGCACCCTGCTGCCACGCGGAACTTGTCCGTTTGACGAAGACAAATGCGTATTTGCGTGCTGGACGAAATTTCATTTCCAAGAGTCATTAGACCCGGGGATATTGGCACGGTTGCCGTAACTACTTCGCAACTTTCCTCCAGCCCAAGTTATAAATAAAGCGGTCGCATCCGTGGAGAAACCGATCGATCAACCGGTACTGCATAAGGGACTTATCGTCCGGTTGAAAAATTCATATTTTTCGATAAAGAGCAACTTTTCCTCGTTGCGAGGGAATTACGTCGGAACGGTTAAAAAAGGTAAACGGAGAGATAAAACGAGCGGTTGTTACGCGATAGGCGAGCAGTGGAAGACGGCGACTCACGGAGGTTCACGGGAAGCTGGGCAGCCAGCGAGGTTGTTCTCCTCTATGTAGACCGCGGAGGTCTTTCCAAATGAAAATCGACTTAAACGTAAGGAACGGTAATACGTCAAAGGAGCAAGATGGAATAGCGAGCGCGTACATTTGCGTCTATTACAGCGCTGACTCGGCGCGTCTGCTCGGTATCAAATTCGTCGTTGCATAGAGGAATTATTCGCTTAGTAAGTTACGTGCCTTTGGTCTGACTGTTTGCGTTCCACTTTCGATAGAAGAACGACACTCGACTGGGCCGAGTACACGCGGCCTCTCTGCTCGACTACGCCAATTCGATTATCTTTCCTCGATCATTCGATAATTGCGAGCGGACGCGGATCGGTGCCAGGCAGACGTTGGAAAATCAAGCGAACGTCCCCGATTATTCGAAACGAGTGACAGAGGGACTGGACGCGACATCGAGCGCTCATCGATGCATCGCTTAACGAAACGATCGTCGGACGTGACTGACTTTTGTCCGGTTAAATTCGACGGAAAATAGCGCCGTTTCGAAATTAATCGAGGCCGTGGTAGCTCGTCAACTTTTTTGCCTTTCGAGCACGGACTTTGTAATTCTCTTTGCTCCACGTCGAAGGAAATAATTAGAATCCCGCGTACGAAACGTAGAATTTCCCCGAGAAACGACCGAGGCATTTTTTCCACGAGGACGCGCGTTAATCGGCCTGTTACTCCGAGATTATTCAGATTTCTTTCGGATTAAGTTCTTCCGCCTCTTTTCCTACGACTTTTACGAATGAAACTCAGGAACGCGTGAAATCCGGAAGACCGGATCTCGTATATGGAGGGACCAGCGCGAATGTACATCGTTCGGGGAAAAATACGAAGGCATCGAGGAGATTCGCCATAAATCAAACGCATCGATATTGGCGTTGGTTTAATAAATGACCCCTAGACCGTGGAAAAAGGGGAGCAACACGGTTCGTTCGCCTGTATTTCCAGCGTATCTGAGACACACGCTATAAATGATCCACGCGAAAAATCAGCGTTATCGCGCATGTTGCTCATCGATCAGAGCGTCACCGAAATATTCCACACCGGCGATAAAATACGTTTCACCCGAATCGTTTCCGTCGCGTTCTGCCCCATCGCGCGATAATAAGCTCGCTCTCGTCAAAGGTGGTGGTGGAAAATACGAGAAATTCGAACGGACAGCGAATCGGGAATCGACGAGTGTAGAATTCATCGATCGATGATTACGGGTAGGTAGAACGGGAACGCAGCAGAGGGTATGAAAAGTTGTCCGAAAGGGAAAAAGCGACCACTGAATGGCAAAGTAGTTCACGGACCGAGAGAAAACTCGTTTGAAACTCGTAAAATGATTTTCAGTCTAAGTTTGATACAATTTGCATGCGCGGTATATTTCAGCGACGTCCTCTCACCTTTATCTCCGGTACAATACCAGCCTCGTATATCTTGACTTCCTCTTTCAACTGCGACTGCACTGCCAGTTTCAGCAGCGACCGATTTTCCGACGATTAAGTACATTACGCGTAATGACGGTGCAAGGGGTTCAAAGGATGCTTTACCGTCCTAACCAGTGGCTAGAAGTGGGGAATGCGCTATTCTCTCGAGGGTACGATCGACAGAACGGTGCTCGCGGAATTCGCTACTCCATCTCGCAGAACTAGCCAACAATTAACGGTACACGGGCGTTCCGTTTAAAAATCAATGACCGATCCAACGTGCCTCGAAGCTGAGAACATAGCACGCGAATTTATTACCCACGCGAAGATCGAACGCTCGATGCATCGACGAATGGAAAAGGAATACGTGAAAATAATAGAACCAGGATAGAGCTATAGACACACTGCGACGCAAAAGCCTACCGTATCCTTACCAAGTTACACGCGTCGGGACCTCCGCATCGCGCACCATTGTCCTGCCAGTCGTCGCTGGATCATCTATCGCACGGTAACATACTCCGGTGGTACGGTGAACGCGAAAGTTACGGGCCAAAGAGAATTTTCACTCGTCTCGCGATCTTTCGTAACTTTCGACACCGTCTCGATACGAATTCGACCGATCGACTCGCGGCAGCTTCTAACCCCGACGAGACGTCCGGATGCGTACGATGACCGGCTTACAGATGTCGAAGAGGCGAGCGTATCGAGGACGAGATACAACGAGGAAAACGCGGATAAAACGACACACCTCTGTGCCAGCGACGACAGAGTTGATGCGGACCGCGGAAGGGAGGCTGCGAAACTGAGATGAAACCACGGCGCAACCCCGGTGCGCGCGCGCACCAAAACCACCCCCGGAATACACGGAAGCAGCCCGGCCGAACGAACACTACCCCTCGTCCGTCCCCACTTACTTCTCTCCAGGACTACCACGACGAGGACGACGATGCTCCCGCTTCCATTTTTCCTCTATCCCGTACCTTTGTCCTGCCGCTTCTTCGCACGGCTTTCTTCTCCCTGTTTGACCGCGAAAACGTACGAACCGAAGCCTCCGCGCTTTCGCCAACAGTATTTTTCCCTTACCGTTAATCCATGCATCCTGCCTTGTCTCTGCTCACCGCCTGATATATCATTTTTTCTTCTCGTTGCCGCGCTCTTGATCGATCGATCCGCCGATTGGAAAGCGGTCTAGAGAGCGGAACGAGTCCGAGTTAATTGAAAGAATATTAAGGGAGTATGGTCTTTGAATCGAGTCAAGGTTGCTTCGAATTTATCTCGAGGCTGTTTGCAAGTTTTCGCGAATAATTTAAAGAGAGGAACGATAAACGAAGGACAGGCAGCTCGAAACGAAGATTATCTCCGGGTAGGTTCAAGCTTCGCACAGCGAGGAAACTGCGCGAATTTTCCCCGGTACGTCATAGCACGCTGAATTCCTGCACCACGGATAGCCGCAAAAACGAAACAGGGGTGGAGAATATTATAACAAACTCGGGGCTTTTCGAGCCAGTGAAATTCACGCGATTAGAGCCCAGATGGATGAAGCTCAATGACTCATCGATAGTGCTCGAACAATGTTGCTCATTCCGACGACTTTAATTGGCAATTACGAGGCCGTTGGCAAACCCCGTGCTTTTTTACATTCGGTTAATCGAATCGCACTCTCATAGAGAGCCTCTGCCTACTTCCAATTACCCTCGATCCTCGTGTTTCCCGAATTCGCGTTAAATCGCTGACCGACCAGTGCCAAGCGGACTTTCCCATAGGTCGTTTCGAAAGAACAATTAGAAACTTCGCGTATGCGTGGCACGATATACTTCGCGCGTGTCGTCAAACCTCCTCGGGGACTATAGAAATTAGGCTGTACGATAATCGCAACGCGAATTCAAATTTAAGCTACACATGCCGCGTGTACTGGACAGTGGTACACACCGGCGGAGGAAACGTAAATAAGCAAACCAAAAATGTAAACAAACAAACTGAGAATGTAAATAAATGAAACCAGGATGTATGTAAACAAACACAGATACGTAAACCAAAAAAGGAAAAAGGCGAATAAATGAGTTTGGTAAGCGAAACACGAATGAACAAGACTGGACGTATCGGGAAGACTCGATGTAAAATTTTATTTTTCATTCGGTGTATCGTGCAAAACGCTGCACGACCGGATAATGCTTCTCGCTATATAGCAACGTTACATCTTTTCGCAATTTAAGGAACTCGGAACTTTGGACGTTAGATGGAAACCGAGAAAGAGACCGCGTACACAGGAAGGCTTCTGCGAGCGGAAACCTTGCGCCGGAGTCGTACCGGGGATCCTTAATAAAAATGTACGGTCACGGAGTAGCCGTAGGTGGTGAAGATTGATGAAAGCACGGCAAGGAAGGGCAGTTTCGCGGGGAAATTTTACTTTCGTCGAATTTGCCGAAATCGCTCGACGTTGGCCCGGGGCCCTGCGAGGATTCCATGCACCCGGTGGTTTTCGTTAATTAACGATGGCTCGGGACGAAAAGTAGAAAGGACCGAACAGAACGCTATCGTTCTCAGGCGTAGATTAAAATTTAAGGCGATGCTCTGGATGCTCGTATAGCTCTGTCGAGTTTTACGAGGGCTTCTCTCCGTAATCATTATATACTTACGAGTCAACGAGAGCACTCTCTCGAAGCGTGAAGTTGCCCGTTGTCTGCGAGAATTAAGTTTCCATCGAGTTTCATCGACGAGCTGAACAAGCGCGGCAAAGCTCGATACCACCTCCCTTACTAAATATCTTCCAAGGGAAACATTTATTTGACGCTTTCAACAGCGCACGAAGTCGCGTCGCGAGCTATTCACGGCCGCTTCAAGAGCTCGAAAATGTCGGCCAAGTGTCGGAATCGATGAACATATATCTTAAACGCGATGTATTCGTCGATGAATCGTATCGAACGTATGCGCGATACGCTAAAATATAAAGGCATTTCTTCCGAACAATTTCCACCACGGGCTCGAGCCTCGAGGAGAAAAAATTCGTTCCCCTTCGTAGCGCCTACTGTTCCAAGGGAATCATTCTCGCGACTTGGCCACGCAGTTTCTTCCAATACTTTCATCCGTTTCCAAGGATTCTGACAGGGCGTTGCCGTAATTACACAGCCTTCTATTCAGAGTCGCCTCGAGCGTATCCCAAGATGGCAATTCATCTCCATTCTTCGACCCGGAGTAGTCCAACTTCCTTCGAGCGTCCTGCGTGCTCCATGTCGGCGACTCCTCCCGGCTGATCATCTCGTCGAATTTATTTTTCTCGATATCACCATCCGTGCGCAGGCTAGAGCGTGCCGGGGAACTTCCTGAAATTGAAAAATCGATCCGCGTATTGTTTGCACGCCATTACCAGCTTCCGTTCGCACGAAAAAACGAATCTTGCGTTCGCGACGAATCGTCCTATGCTACGTATTAAGCGATCGATCAAAGATCGAGAAGAAAGCGAATGAAACGAAAAAATGTAAATGGAAATAAAGTAACAAACTTTTAAAACAAAAAAAGATGGAAGAAAATATGACGGTCCACGAAAGGACGATCGCGACGTAACACGTTTCTAGAGTGTACAGATAAAATAACCTTTGATAGCCTCCCATATCGGAGCGCGATATCTCCTAAGGGTGATCGTTCCAGCGATAGAATCGATCGAAGAATTCCAAGAGGACAACGAATTCGAGTCCCAGATGTTGCAGGGGCGTTGTCTTATCAACGCGTTGCGTCTCAAGGTGTCATGCATCTCTTGTATCTCCCTTTCCAGCTGTCTCTGATGTTCCGCGATGATTCTCAGTTCACCAACTCCTGACGGTAATTGCGGGGGTGAATCCAGCAGATTCGACTCTGGCCTGGTGCGAACAAAGACGTATCCATTATGCATCGAGGGGACTAACCGGAGGAAACCGCAGCCATTAGCGGCTCTTTAAAAACGAGGATCTTCTCGGAGTGGAAACCGTACCTTGGTCTGTAGACCTGCCTCGGCGAGCTGGATGTATACGTGCCGCTGGTCTTTTTCGAACGACGAGAGGATTCTCTGGCCACGCGCTGCACCATGTTCAGCACGACCATTTGCTCTTCCCGCGGCAAAAGTGCGGCGACTTCTTGCAGAACCTGGGAAGGAAAAAGTTTCTGGCTCTAAGACTCCATCATGCCCGATCCGCGCTTTAATTCTAGCCGGCTGGGGGGATATTTGGAGAAGCAGGGGTAGCAGAGGTCTGGTAATGTAAAAGGAAAAACTATCCGGCCGTTTTTGGAACGGTATTCGAAATACTCTAGAGTCTGTAAAGTTGCTAAATAGAAAGAATGTTCTTGCTTAAATCTTTGGTAACTCTGGCGGCCTGGAACTCTCGTTTATTCGAGGGTCGAACGAAAGGGAGGCCTGGTAGCGGCGCGTAAGATCGGGTTCGGCGGCAGCTAGGATTAAACTTAGTTTCGAAGCGCAAAACGCATTTTCCATAAGCATAAGGGGGTCCCGGTGAATCGGGCTGTCGCTCTTTAAGTAGAAAGTTAGTTGGCACATGGAGGACGGAGACGCGGAGCAGGAGCCAAGAGCTCTGCTCGGTGAGCACAGCGCGCGAGGGCGCTTCGGGAAAGTAAATACGTGTCCACTTTTTCCCTTTTTATTCGCCTTCAGTGGCTCTGGAAATACATACATCCGGAGTGCCAGGAACACGACCAGAATCGTCTTTTTATTCCATCTTCGAGACAGTTTCGTAGATCGGGGGTTCGAGCGATTCGCAGCGAAATGGTTGGAAGATAGGAAGAATCGCTGACGCCCCGGGCATAATCTACTCCAAGGATTCTCGCAAACAAACCCGCGATCCGCGAGCAGAGCTGCCTCGATATCGCGCGGGACTGATTGGTACGACAAACGGAATGAAAATTTCTCAGTCACGGTCGCGGAAATTCCACGGCAAATTCGCGGAGGGAACTCGTCGGCGAGATAGAAAGCTCGAATCGATCGAGCGAGGAGAGATTTCTTTCTGAAACAAAACTCTGCTCGAGAACGTTCTAGATCGACCCTCGTCGAAGCGCTGCCGCATTCCCAAAAGGTTTTGCGCCGCGGCAGAAGCACGCGCAACCGGAAATTAACTGAAATGGAAGCGCGCGACCCAGGAGGTGCTCTCTTCGCCACTGCGAATAAACAAAGCGAAAAATGCGATAACGCCTTTTCGTTTCACTTCGATTACGTACGAGTTCGATAAAGTCCACTCTCTCTCGTGAAGATCCTTCGCGCGTTTAAGTTTCATTTGCTCGGAAAAGTGGCCGGAAGAGCCGCCAGAATGTCCTTCCTGCAGGAAGTTTAATATCCAGCGTGATAAGAACGCCGCCGTGTCGATATAGAAATTATTATTACGCGACGAAGTAATAAAAGGAGCGATTCAGTCGCTAGAAAGATCTGTAGAAGGATGAAAGACATGTCGCGTCGCGAACTTTGAAAAGCTTCGAAAACGTTAGATTCTCGCGAGGGACGAGGAGAGAATCGGGCGTCGTTTATTTTGTTGGAGAGAATGGCTGCGGACGTCGATGCCTCAAACGATGGGAACGTTAATCGGGTAAGTAGCAACCACCTCGGATTCTCTATAGTAGAATTCCGTTCTAACTGCACCGTTTCGTACGCGACGAAGGGATCGGGCAGGATTTTATTGATCTTACACGGAAGTCTCGTCGTAGTTGCTGCGGATCTGGCCACTTTTGAACCAGAAATATCCACTAAATTGTTGGAATCTCTTATCGCCGAAACGTTGCCCGAATCTTCAACGTCGCAACCCCACGTCTGCTCGAGAAGGACGACGGAAAAAATCCGCGCGATATTTCACGGAATGAGGAAAGAGAGAGAAACACGGGCTTACCCGAAAAATCGTCCGCTACGATCAAGGGTACGCCGAGTTACTTGGTTGGCCTGATGTTACTTCATCCGAAGAAAAGAGGATCGAACAGTTTCGCGGTGAATAGCGTTAGTCGAGGAAAATAGGATCCCGAGACGTCTGTCGAAGAATTTCGTCTGCCCTGGTTTACGGATATCGACCAGGCAGGATTGGTCTAACGTCCACCCAACGCGTGAGAACTCGCTGACACCTATTAGGTTTGGTTTAACTCGATCCTCCGCAGCCCCACGAATGCTGATACGTTTAAGATCCTCCGGAGACTCGCTAACCTTTAGGAAAATCCCTTTGATCCCGAGGCGAAGTCTCATCGAGAAAGTACACGGAAGCAGACGAGCGGAAGGGGCGATTTTTCCTAACGGATAACAAAAAAACCTCGCTCCTCGTAAGTGCAGGATCGTGTCGCTGCATTTGCATGACTTTCGTTCATCTGTTTCTAGCGGAGCAAAGTGCCTTCTGTCTAATTATCCCCCGGGTTAGCCGGAAGTTCTCGTGGGAGCTCAGAGAAAATTAGACCGTCGAAGACGTATTAAACTCCCCGTTTGATGGATCGGTATATGACAAAGGATCCGGAATTATCTCTCCATACGAAATTCTAACGCGATCAGAATTTCTATCCGCCTTCCCTTACCAGGTGTCTGTCTGTTTTTTAATTCCTCCTTTCTATTCTTCACCGGTGCTCGATATAGGGAAAGACATCGAGGAAAACACGAAGCTTCTGCCTGTAGCGATGGAGCTGATTCGGTTACCACTGAAATACTTCGATTTAATACGATTTTTCCCACCGTTCTGTTATCCAATAAAAGGTATTATTCGCCAACGTATGTCCGATAAATATATATCGCTGAAAAGGTTCGCGAATTAAAAGGTAATCGCGTTTGGAAGCGCAAGGAAAGCCAAGTTTAGGCGATGCGGAGAACACGATACCTTGATAACCATCCATGCTATTTGCGAGAAAAAGTAATCGCGTTGCCGCGAGGCAGCACGCACGACCAAGCTTTTTACCGAAACTATCGATATCGTTTGCGAGGGCATCGTTCCCATCGCTACCTGCACGAGCATCGTTGTAGCAACAGCCTTCTTGTCGTTATTACGGTAACACGATCCTTTGAAGTAACATCGCAGCCCGATTTTATGATCTCTCCGTAAACCGAGGTTTCACTTCGCAGTTTCTCGTCGCCGGCTTTCCCGACGCATTAAACCGGATTTCAAACTGCCGCTCGAAAATGCAAGAAAAACGGAAGTCGTTTTGACGCGGACTAAAAAGCGGACCCAGCTGCAAAAAGCGAACGTCTTTTTAGCCAGCCCTTTGATTACGCTCGTTTCAAATTTAATCTCCAGCACAGACATCCTGCACGGACGTGTTTTTTTCCTCGCTCGTCCTCGCCAAATTATTCTCCACGTTAATTAACAATTGCCACTGCGCGCAGTCGCTCTGGGAAATAAACGCTATTTTATTTAAATTAAGGGAGCACCGCGTCGGGGCACAGAAGGTGCGAGGCTTCGACGCCGTCAACGTCGACTCGTACGACCCGCGATAATCGCGATCGATACCGAATCGTGGTCGAAGGTTCGCGTGCGAAATTTAATAAAGGGAGTGATTTAATATACACGTTCCATTAACGCTTATTTGCGCACCGATTAAAAGTCAATTTATATTCGTCGGAGATTTATGCGAACGGGAAGAGGAGCGATACACAAGAGGGAGCCCCCCAGTCTCTTAACAGCGACGTGTGAGCGACGTTTAATTCGCGTTGTCAAGAAAGAAGTCTCCTGAAGGGAGATAAACGTTTCTTCGTCGTACACTTATACATACGCGCACGGTCACGAGTCGCACGTGTTCAAGATATATTTGTAGGATGGCAGAACTGGTCTTGAGACACCGAAAATTCACGAAAGAACAAGAACACAGTAACACAAACTCAAAACTCGTAAACTGATTTAACTTAGGGACAGAAAACCAAGATAACGAAAACACACAAACACGCACTCTTTTAAAACTCTCTTTCCAACACCAAGCGACTCACGCTTGTGCTGGACACAACTGATTTCTAAGGACTCCGTTTCGGTTGTCAAGGACCACGCTTTTATAATTTCCTTGATCTTCGCTTCACCTCCCCGTAGGGGAGCCGTGCATCTTAATTTTGGTATATAGAATAACTTTTCGATTTGCTTCTAGAAGATATCGATCGGTTTACAATTTGTTTTTGTTGGCAATAGCCGATTCGCGATTTCTTTTGGTATCCTACATATTCGAGATCCTCGCTGCTTTTATCTTTAAGAAAATTCGAGTTCGATTCGATCCTTTCTTGCCTCGAAGTTTGTGCACAAAGACGCACTAACGACCGGTTCTATAACGTTCTCACGAACCCCAAATGCGTAAAGATGGCGGTTGCAGCTAGCTGAGTCTAATACGGTTATCAGGGTAGCTATTAAATCGGTTTCGAGTCGATTATACAAGCGAGAGGATAATGAGCCGCGCGTTAGGGAAGAAGCGGATCATCGGAAATGGCGGAACTCGAGCAACGAAGTCTGCAGCTCCTTCAAGTTCCGCCCCCGATATTATTGTCGTAGAATCTGGCGTCGCGTCGGTTCGACGTCGTCCCAACGTGTTCCCATGGCGGACGCCCCGGTGAAATTACTGTCCTGGAATTGCCTCCGTGCACCGGAAATCCGTGCTCGTCTAATCTAATGAAACTGCGCGAACTGTGTGTAATTAAGCTGCCTCGCGTCTGCTGCGCGCGGAATGAAAGCCGAGCCGAAACTTCAAGCCGAGCAAACAGTGGGTCGCCAAAGACCGGGAACGCAAGTTTCGCCGCGGAAATTACTTCGACAAATAATCGGCCATCGAACCTGGACCGCGTCGTTCTATGATATACTGGTCAAAACGATCGGAATTGTCGCCGGTCGCCGATTTACGTTCGACTTACCAAGGTAACCAAGGCGGAACATAGAGAGTCTCGATCCTTTGGATTTCCTATTCGGTGACACGCGTGGTGGCACGAGTTTGGAACGGGAGATCGGTTAATCCGTCGGAGGTGTACAAACGCGAGGAAGTTGCTCGATCATCTCTTCCTCTCGTTGCGACAGTTCGTTCAGAAGTTTCGACTGCTCTTGAAATGTTTACCGTGATACCGTGCCGCGTAAAAACGTCGGAGAATAAGTAGAATGGGAACGAGGTAGAGTCGAAATAAAAAGCAAGACGCAAAAGTTCTGGCGACGAGAGGAAAAAGAAGTGGCGAGAATGTGAGAAGAGATGTAAAGAAAGAAGAGACAGAATCGTATGAAAGTTTGAGAACTCACCCTGAACTTGCCGAGGGAGACCATGGCGGAGATCAAATCGCCAGGACCACGATGTCGAGCACGCGATCTACTCATCGACGCGACATATGTCAAAGGGCTGGCGTCCCTCAATTCCGTGTGTCCTGCAACCCCTAACGAAAATATTGATTTTGCGCCACGTTCTGCATGTACGTAACTTACGTATTCTGTGATCCGGTGACCGAACATCGAGACGTGGACCAGAAATTTGCCTACGTCACCGAATGGCGACGTTGATTTAAAACGCAAAGCGCAAACCGCACACGGTTGATCTATCGCCCGGCATTTTCAGCTCGAATTTTACGTGCCCTCTACTATATGATATTCTCTCGCGACGTCAACGTAAATCTTTGTCTCTTCCGCGCGTTTAGTCTCGCTCCACGACCGACACAGCACTTCAATTTTTAATGCCGGGCACGTTTATTCTATGCGCGATCACGGCTAGATAGAGCTGCCGTTGAAAAAGGATTTTACTCGATAGCCTCGAAAGCCGGGTGAAAGGATTCCGTTGCTACGATTTCGCCTCCAACACTCGGATAACTTTCAGTTTTAACTTTCATAGTCCCGTTAAAAGCGTTCATCGAGAGAACAACGTCACAGATTAATACGGTTTTCTATCTTTCCGCGATTTTACGAGCGAAACGTTTTGCAAGGAAAATGAAAATCCGTCGAGCGATACGCCGCCACAAATTTTACGGCAACTTTCTCACCTGTGCTCGGCGGTATTGCTTTTTTCCGTCCACGGCGCGACTATGCCAAGTGCTCGCCGTATGCAGCTCGGTAATAATTAATTTCGCTAGGTGTTATTAGTCGTTGGAACTTTAGACCGATATTTTCCAACAATCTAAACTGGAAGTTCCCCGTGAAAACGGAAACTCGCGAATCGTGGCTGCGAATCTATGTAATTAATTCTCTAAACTCGAACCCTCTACCGAGATACGTTCTTACCACGTGACAAGTTTCCAGCGAGTAAAACGGAAGTGTGCAACGCGACAGCTTTCTTATGCTATTGTGCTACTCGGTTCGCTAATTTATTAGCACAATGGAGCATTAAGGAGTAGCACTTTGTATCCCCTTACCCTCATTTTCACTCGACTGCCCTTGCAATTTCGAGAGAGAATCGAATAGCTCGCTGGCCCTCGAATTTATACTTCGCTTCCGTGCGATCGTGCTGACGTTTCTAGCCATGCTCCACGTGGAAAATGAACTGAGTCCTTTGTTCTCTGCGAAAGTTAGGTTGTACTTGATTATCCTGTCGCCGGGAAGAAAAATCAGGCGCAAAGAGTTGCCCGAGCGTTCGATCATCTTTGTCATGTCCTCTGCCCAACGCCAGCCTTTAGATAGATTGTCCACGATTCCATTAGCAGGCGATACTTGCTCGGTTATCACGGATTTACAAAACGTCGACAATGATTGCATCTCGCAAGAGTAAACCTCTTGCTTCTTCTTCCAAGACGTAGCGTGCCAGCCGTATTCGTGAAGACTGTTAAAAAGGTTATTCAGATACGGTCGCAGAATAGGCTCGAGGATCTTCCGATTATAGTCCATGCCTTGAATAATAAAACACTCCGAAAATTGAAAGAACGTTCATCGTATTTTATGAGCAAATATTTCCTTACCAAAGTATAGCCATTGTAAAAGCATTTTAGCCATTATTGGAAAAGCTTCCAAGTCCGTGTTGACAGTCTCTCTGTCCCTTCTGACAACGTCGATCAGAAGTCCGACGGAATAATCGAACTGGCTCGTCGTGTTGCAGCGCCTTCTCTTTTTCGATCCCTTGCGACAATCGTGTGCGCGCATCTTACGAACTTCCATTGCGTGAATCTGATTCTTGGCCTGTGTGAGAATTAGTTTCAATAAAAACACCAGATTCTCCACCTGGTCCGTGGTGCAATAAGATAATTCCGGGAAATTCGAGTAACTGCAGTTGTCCGAGTGATCCTGTCGACATAGAAAACGATTCTTTCTCCGTTACACCGTGCTATAACTAACAGCGTATAACCTAGTACTACCTGCAACGAAGCGTCTTTCATTCGCAGCACTTGCTCCAGAATCATACTAAAATATTCCAGTTGTCTCTGGCTATATCCGTAATCCTCGTTGGTCGTTCCTCTAGGTAACGAGGCCATGATGTCCCGCCATCTGACAATGAGCTCGCTCTCCATAACATCCAAAGGCCCGGGCACGTCTCGTGCCATGGACAAAGAACGACGATGAAGCGTTTCCAAGCAAGACTCCAACAATCGACAATCGGAAACGTAAGAGTCCTCGGGGTATGCTATTCCACCTTGGAAAAACAAAGGCACGTAACTCGTATAAGCTGCGGAAATGGCGAGGCTTTCTTTCGACTAGCTGAAACTATGAAACGCGGAATGAAACTAATTCGAGCCAGGCATGCTGGTAAATCTTCGCTCTTAATTAAATCGCGCTGCGATTAAATGACATGCATTGTTCAGCGTGGCAAGCATGTCGCGAATAGACCAGAGGTCGGCAAGCGAAACGCGTTGAAAAACCGTGATACGATCGAAGTGTATCGTCGAACGGCTTATGAATGCATACAAATTGCCGATACATTCAACGTCCACAATAATGGTACACGTCGGTATCATCATTAATTAAGAATTTCCATGGAAACCAGACGATCGCGCCGCGCGTGTCGTCGAGATATTGATTGTCGTATGAAAAATAGGAGGAAAAAGAAATCAGAGATTGGATAGAGCGAGCTCGACGAAAACAACACCGGCTCCATTCTTCTAACACACTTTTTTTCATGCAAACTGAATTACCTCTCACGCATTGTAGCATCACGTTGCAACGCGGATGAAAGTAACACCTCAGGTTCTGGCATTTCAGAGCGGCGACTAACTCGTCCAACGCTAATAGAACATGACACGAAAGAGTATCGGGCGCCCAGCTCGTCAGAGGATCCGGTCCTGCCCTTTCCAAAGACCACCGGTGCACGGTTCTCAGGATATGTCTGGAAACTACTCGTAAACGATCCGGCGACGGAGGACCACGTTTCCGTGCTACCTAAGTAAATTTCATTCGTATTTCTTGGCAAATAGAATTTTCGCAAGGACGATCGGCTCGAAGTAGAACAATTAATCTGGGGCCGAGGGTAGGAGAAAGAGATGCGAACTTTAAAAATCGATTCAACTTTTCTCATTACGTATTCATCGACGTTGCATGTTCGGTTACAGCAGCTTCAAAGGAGCGGATGAATTATTATAAAATCCAAGGTAACTACGTTTTTATTAAATAGTTCGGCGCAGAATGGAGTGGCGGAGGAAAATAGGTTTTCAGCTTGAACCCCGAGGTGCGACATCTGTGTCACGGAGAAGACGTGCCATTGGGAAAAGGTAAGGAAAAAAGCGTTGGTTCGTGCGGAAGCTGGGGTGATTCGTATTTCAGAAATAGGCCAAAGAATTGGAGATCGCGCGAATGCAAGCGCACCTGTGTGCAGATACGATGCACCGACTAGATGCGCGTTGAACTATTGTCGAGGTGTCGCGCGAAATCAGCCGTTGTTCCCCTGCGCGACGTGCAAAGCTATGAAATGCACCTAATATTCTCATAGATGAAAACGTCAAAAGGAACAGGCCGAGCTTTCCGGAATATCTCTAAGGCGACTGTCGTCGTTGTCGTCGTCGTCGTCAGTGACGCTCGGAAAAGGAAACAAACGATACACCCGACTGAGTTGTTCAAATAAAATCCATCGGGAGAAAGCGTATATCTGTCGCAAATCCGACGAGAAATAAGATTGCAGATATGGCACGCGACGTATCTCGAAATATCTCGAATCTCTGTGCAAAAACTACGAAAAAACAGTAGCGCGATTTTCAACGAGAAATTTGCCAAAGCATCTTAAAGACTCACCTTTGGTTTCGCCGGTAAATTCATAGATCGCCCTTCTCGCAGCTCGTACAAAATTTCCAGGAGCACGGATTCCGTCAGGGCTGGTACACTGTCGACGGCATAGTGTTGACTCATAATTTTCTCGGCTGCCGGAACACGTACTCTCCAGAGAGTTGCTCGGTTCTTGCAACGTGCACCGGAATACGGACCAACAGCCACAGCGTACATGCCCTAGAACAGTAGCAACAAACAGATGACGTGAAACAAACGAATCTGTCCATTTAGGCAAGAATATGGAGATTGCCTAGTCAGAATCAAATCTCTCCCTCTCACTCTCGCTCCATCTCTGTCTGTATCACTCTCTCTCTCTTTCTCTCTCTCTCTTGAAAACTCGAGCAGGAATTGCAATGCGTGTACTTGGAAAAACTCATTTGCCTTTGCTTTTCCATTAATGCATCAATTGCATAAAGTGACGCCAGCAAACGAGTTAATTCACTTAAATGGTTGCTGACTCTGTTATGTTCGCGGAGTCAAAAGGGATTCGCGGACCAAAACGATATGCCGGTATCTCGTTCATTAATTTAATTTACCAGCGAAACGGTTGAATCGCTAATAACTTCGACCAACCAAGGATTTACCTTGCGGACCTCATGCAAATCGATGTTTCAAGCAATTCTCGTTTACACGAAGCAAGCGCGCATCGTTTGTGTACCGTATTGCGCGAGCTATGCACTCGACACGCATCGCGGCACACGCGAAGGAATAGATCGTTGGAATACAAGCATAATAAAAAAAAAAAAAGTGCCAGCTTGTTGCGGAACGCAATACTTATCGCGAGAATGGCAGTTCCGATGAAAAGTGTGAAACAGAATTTTACGAAAGCTCTCGAGACTGTTCGCGTGAAAGGCATCCAATGCTGCATATTGGAAACAAGTACACTTGGGGCACCTCATTCAAGAAAGTCGATGTTTTTATTACCCATTGCGTTTCTTTATGGTTAAAAATGCATGGCTCTTTTCATCGTCTCACGCTATCAATGGATAACACTGTCCAACAAATTTTCAGAAAGTTCTTGGAAAATGTGAGTTTTTCTAAAAAGGCAAAATATATGTACAGGATTAATGCTAGATTAACCCTATGCAACTGGCTCGATCTCCTTATCATGGGGTTTAATAGAAAGTTGTTAAAGAATTAACACCCACCACACTTTTAAGATGAGAATGGATTTTTCGTTTCAGCCAAAGATAGAGGAAATAAAAATATTTTGACGTACTTATACATAGCATGCAAATTTGTACTATAGAAGTGTGAATATAGTTTTAGCTTATAAAACTTGTTTATAAATTACCAAATTTATTATTAATAACCAATAAATATTGTTAATAATAAATTGTTTACCCCGTGAATTTATAATAAAAGTGAAAAAATTAATAAATTACCAGGTATTACTAGAACTTTTAACGCAAACGCGTGTTAAAATATACCTATAATTTACAAAAAGCTTATAAATTATTACACCGATTGTTAATAACAAATTAATATTGTTACTAACAAATTGCACGCAACGTGTATTTATAATAACAATGAAAAAATTAATAAATTATCAGCTGTTAAGGCGGAAAAATAATAAATAATGGAATCGGTAAAGTTGAAAAATTTTCGATCGGGGTGGGGGAACTCGGCCGATCGGCGGCTATATAAGGGGCGACGCGACGCAGCATAACTCATTTGTCAGTTCGACTTCGGGAGTGTAACATCTAAATTTTTCGTGTGCGCGAAGGGGGTGGGTTCGAAGTGAGGTTGGGGCTAGCCACCCCACCTACACTCCACCCCCCTAAATAATTTACTAATCATTTTTTTTTTTTTGTTTTCAGCTCTTAATTATTTTTTTTCCAGGTTTTAATAATTTTTTGTTTTTCCAGATTTTAATTATTTTTCTTTATTTCAGATGTTATTTCTTCGTTTCTATTTATTTTTATTTGACATTTTGAATATTTCGTATAATATTCGAGTGTCCCATCGTTGGGTTATTTATGTCTCATCGTTGGCTTCTTTATTTCTCATCGTTGGGTTGCTCTCTCGATTTTTCTGTTGTTTGTCTTTACTAATCCGATTCATTTCAGATTTTAATTATTTTTTTGTCAGATTTTATTTTTATTCGAGCATTCAAATATTTCGTATAATATTCGAATGTCTCGTCGTTAGTTTGTTTATATCTCATCGTTGGCTTGTTCATGTCTCATCGTGGGGTTGATCGATCCGTTTGGTTTTCCTTTGTGGTTTATATTTATATTGTTTTCTCTTACTAATCCGTTTCATTTCAGGTTTATATATATTTTCATTTTAGGATGCGCGCGTTTAGACCTAAGTAGACCTAAGTAATCATAAGGTAGATCACTAGGCTAAGTTTCATGTGCGCGCTATTCGTACAAAGGTAAGCTACCTAACTTGGAGCGAATATACACATTTCTTATCCCTCTCGTTTGCCAAATAGAACACAATTGTTCTCGCGATAATCGCGATTGTTCTTAAGTACGGACTAGCCTACGCACGTACTTTCCGTGTACTCGTCAACTCCACGCCTCGTAAGTCATTCTCACGACTCGTCTCCGACACTCATTTCTGCCACTGTCAATCTCGTCATGCATCGGGATCTCTGGTGGCTCTCGGGTTGGTGAGGCATCTGGAGTAATACGGGGGTCCGTCGACCTTAGTCGTCCTGGGTGCCAATCCGTGCACACGACCGGGGGATGGGCCCTGCAGTCGGAATCATTGCAAGAGCGTGCCTGCCTGCCCCTCTAGCACTTGGTGGCTATGTGGTTATGTTTGCATAGAGCCGGGGTATGGAGCATGCGCGTGATTCCGACTGTTAGGCCTCGCGTAGGACCCTCGGATTGCCTCTGGGTGTTTCACTGGTTCGTTAGCTGCCTTAGATCATCGAGTAAGCCATGGCGAGGTCGGCGATGGCAGGGTGGGCAAGGCCCGATCGGGAGGGTGCTGAGGCGTGGAGTTGGCTTGTGCACGGGAGTACGTTGCGTAGGCTAGTCGGTCTTTCGAATAATCGCGAACTCGTTCGTGCGCGTCGCGAATTTTCACTTGCTCGCGTCTTTTATATTTGATTTCTTATTTTTATGAGAAATGATATATCTTAGTGTCGCGACAATTTTAGTATACCGAATCGAAATCCCCTTTGTATGCACGAAATATGATAGTGTCAGTAGAGTCATTTTAACTTAATTCGCTCCAAGTTAGATTAGGCTACCTTTAATACGGATAGCACCAGTAGGTTGCGCCACTAGGGCGCATGTCCGGGCCTCGATGCGTAGCCACCTCCACGTGGTGAGACCTGGTAATTGGTATCGTTTTTCACAGAAAAATCTTTGGGAAACGATACCAAGCTAAGAGCTACGCACAAAGTTTGAGATATTTCCTATCTCTTGTAAATTTTCAATGTTTCTTTTGAACTCGGTTACGCGTAGCTTCGGCTCTGTCGAGGCTAGAGAAACAAGCAATGGCTGGGTGGCGGTAGAACCCTCTATACGCGTCACCGACGAATATTTTCTAGATTTAATTGAATTGAGAACTGTCTCCTCTGTCTTCTTCTTCAGAAAAGCTTACAGAATACGATACTGTGTAACAAATTTGTGTCGGACAAAGAACTTTTTGTAAAAATGTAAGAATAACGTATAGAAAGTACATTCCGTGGCTTATTTTGTAATTTTAATGACCAATTATAATTATTTAGAAACGCATATAAACAATAATAGACATTGATAAATTCGAAATACTCTCACCTAATTTTTAAGAGAAGAATGAACCTACTGACGTCCTTACTTTTTATGTTGTATTGTTTTATATCATTTATCCAAAAAATCGTGTGTTTGTAGGAAACCTCGCAATTTTCGAAAACCGAGGATGATGGAGCAATTTCGATTACGGATTTGTTTTCAGGAAAGTGAACTCTACAACAATTACATAATGGATATTACACATTAAAATTCGTGTCGAACAGTGTAATAGTCCCCTTTGCTGTTACAATATTGCTTTTTAATAATCGTTTATCTACGAACGATACAACGAGAATAATCAATGCTCTAATTACAAAACGCATGCGTAATACGCGAGTCGATAAACTTGAATTTTCAATACTTTCGTGTATACGAACTAGAGTGGAACAAGTACCGGACTACCGATAACGAATCCGAAGGCTGATGAATGAACAGATCGGGATCGATCGGTACGCGGTAGGAATAGATTCGAAAGGCATGCTAATTGACATTGTATTGCATTCGATCGTTTCTTACAGATACTTACACTTTGCGCTGCAGTGTAGTGAAGAAGAGCATCGCAGTGATAAAGAGGTATTCGTTGGGGATAGTCGGCTAAACTGGGCCACAATGAAACTCCGATACCGATTAACAGTCTGACCTCAACTTCGCGAGCATTAAATCCGTCCAACTCGATTCTCAGCAGAATTCCTCTGTTATCTTCGATCATGGCCATACGATGATTCCTTGGTTCCGGTAATGGTCCGTCCGAAACGGCTAGAAATAATGTCACGATCTTGGCGTTATTTAGACAGCATTATTAAAAATCGCATCGTTAACCACGGTTATTGTTTCACGGAGGACACGGCGCGACTTGATTTACTAGATGCTCCTTAATACGGTTGCACGGAAACTGAGTATACTTGGTAGGCGCTCGTTATTCTAAATCCCCTACAGTCGTTATTAAGCAACTTTGCTCGAGCGCCTTGTCCTGATTTATTGAACGCCCAGTATATCGAATTACCAAGTTGCCTCGTGCATCGGTTATTTAGTACAAAGAGAAGATAACAGGTACAAAGGACTAAGGATGAAAAGGAGGATGAAAGGAAAGCAAGGGAATGGTTGGGAAAAAGTTCAGGGACACGCGTGAAACCGAGACACAAAAATATTACGTCGATAAGAAGAGCACGGAAGGTATAAAATCGGAAATTGGGGTAGATAATAACGACCCTGCGAACATTTCATTCTTGTTTACGCTGTTGCTAACTGCGTAGACAAATTCACGGTAATGCTTCGAGGTGAAACATTTCGAAATTTTAATGCCATTCGTGGCAAAAATTTCTCGTCCGCTATTATCGTTCTTAATTAACAACGATATTTATATTGAGACATTACCTGGTCCGTAGAATATTCTACAGTGTTCCGGTTGCTTCAGTAGTTTGTCGAGAATCTCAGCATCGACTACTTGACCAGGCGAGACAGAAATTCTATCATCTACCGGATCCACAGTATCTGAAACAGTAAATCAACATTTTTCGCTCTTCAATCCGTTCAAAACACGAGATTCTGTTCCACATTCCAGAAACAACTCGACCAACTATGTACCGCGATTAGAATTATCCCCTAAATAGTTCGTTAAGTATGAAATACCTTGTTTAATAGCTGTGGCCAATAAATTTGCTAATTTGGCTTTTACAAGATCTCTCCTCAATCTCCCTGCAACATCCATATACTCCCGCCAGACTTCCGCTCCAGCGCCGAGCATCTTCAGCCGAATAAAGCCTGGCAGAGAGGCATCTTCCTCGACGCACACTCCAGAAAGTTCCTGCCTAGGACCTACGCCCGGAGTTGACAATGCATCTATCCGCAGCAGATATTCAAATCTCAGTTGCTGAGGAGAAAAAGGGGTAAAAGATGTTTCTCGGCTTAACGTTATCGTTACGACTCCAGCAATTTCGGATAACACGTCTCGTTACCTTTATTCGTCGAGGCTCGTTCAGTGAAACGAGGAACATTGACGAGAAGTTTCGGTCGAGATTACCAGCGCCTTGCATTAAACGTTGAACCAATCTTTCTACGGTAGCTTCGATCGCATAAATATTCGAGAAATCTGTAACAAATCCATTCGATTGAAAATTCGACTGCGAAAATTTCGACAGCTTACAATTGGCTCTTGAATTCGATATCTTTGTTGTTCCCAACGCCTCCGCGGACGTAGTCTCTCCATTGTTCGCCGAATCAAAGAGTTTGATTTATCAAGAAGCTCGTTAACATTCACCATTCTGAGCCTCGTCGACCAGTTTGCGGAAATATGTGTTCAGGTTGTTCAGCTGACCCTTGGTGAAAGCAAGCTTCGTGGTCATTAAACGAATGCCTCCCTTCTTGCACGATTGTCCGCTAGGTGCACAACCCATTCTGTCTGCAAAAAAAGAATCATTTGCGTTAAATCGATATACAAAACTGGGGAACAATCTACGATTTTCAACTGAAAGACGAAGCACAGGAAACACCATACGAGAAAAACTGCATTGGTGGGTACAATTAACTCTTTCCACTCGAGAGGTGACTCTCAGTTACCATTTATTCAAATTCTAAAGATCGACGTTAATTAATATATCAAATTTAAAATTACCTAACGATGTGTGGAATGTCGAAGAAAAATAATTCTATGTCTTAATTTGCATCTGATTTCTCATTTACCATTTTAAAAATATCCTCGCCTCTATGACAGAAAATCTTCGAATTACAATTTTTCTGCAACGAGAAAGTCGTCGAGTGCAAAGGGTTAATTCCCTGAATCAGCCAACTGATTTCTCATTTATCATTTCAAAAATATCCTCGCCTCTATGACAGAAAATCTTCAAATTACAATTTTTCTGCAACGAGAAAGTCGTCGAGTGCAAAGGGTTAATTCCCTGAATCAGCCAGGACCGTAATGGGAAACAGGGAGTTAAACAAGAAACGACGAAACGCGATAAATCGCAACGAACAATCGATCTTTCCAGCCTTTACCTGAAATGTTCTTAAATTACTTCGCTTTTATCGCATGTAACTTGTCGTTGGACAACCATGTAGCCTAAAACTGTTCCGAAACAGTTTAAGGAATTCCGTAGGAATGCAACTCCGTTTTCTCGACAGATTCCGTGCATATGTCTCTGTCAGCTTGCTGCACAGCTTCACGTTCATTCATCGTGACACTGACTCTTTTTTCACGTCTCCCGTGAATCCCGTTTCACTTCCTTCTAAACGTCTCGGATGAAACGCCTTAAGTAACATCAACTCGAATTTAATGAACCGCGAGAAGCCAAATGGTAACAATTTCGAATAAACACCGTGGCCGCAGATTACGCAACGGAACAGCAAGCTTTCATCGCGCGCAGAAACAAAAAGGACCACCTCGGTTTGCTTTTAGTACGTACCTTCGAAATGGCGATGAAGTCACAGGTATAGATCCACGGCAAACACTGAACGAATACTATATCACGAAGCAAAGCCACCGTGTGACGTTTCCATTCCATTCGGAAAGATATTGACACTCCGTAATCGTGGCCATGTAAATGCACCGAGTGCCAATTATTATTCAGCGGATCAGCTAACAATACCATCACAGTGTTCGGTCACCGGAATTACTTCCGATCCTGATTGTGTGTGCTTGACTTCCGCTCCTATGAACGTGTATCCGTTGTCTCCTATACATTATGCTACCATTACGATGTTTCCAAACTATTTGCACGTACAGAACCTTCGTGCTTGCTCTATGAAAGATAAAAAACATACATTATATGGAACCAGAAACGTATAGTACGTCTATAAATTATTATAAATTATTGAAATGATACGGAAATTCTATTGTCACAGATGCTTTATACCTTTATACCTTTAACATTATACGAATTACAATATTTATACATATATGTATATAGCATATTATTCCTATATTATATGTATATAGTACATTATTAGAAGATAAATTCGTACGGTAAAAGTGTAAAAATCAATATTATTAATTATCGTGACAGTAAACCCTTCATTGTGTTATCAGGATAATGATCATCCGCTGTCAATAAACACCACAGAATTACAACAGGATATCACTCGCTGCTATGATCTCGTATCAGGTAGATTAAGAATTTAACCGGAGTAATTTGGAAATGTGAATAGGGCAGATGAAGACTAGCTGCTAGCATCCTCGACTAGTCGATAGCCCTCGTTTACTCCATTCACGATCTCCATGTACGTGTAATTTGAATTTAATATGAATAAAGCGAAGTAGAACTTCCTATATATTTCTAAAATATTAATTATCGACATATTTAAAACATCTGGGTAATAATTAAATCACTGGCCTAGCTATAAAAATGGCCTAGCTAAAAAAAATTGTCGAATATCAAAAAGCTGAACAAAACAAAAAATAATTGTTCTGTAATATTAAATGGCTAACAAGAATGGAAATTATTATAAAATACTTCCATGTAAAATTTCACGGTAAAAAGATCAGCGTTTATATAGGCCCACGGGCCAAAAGAAGGCAGTACTCGATATTCTCTTTGGGAACAGTTTGAATGCTGTAGGTTATGCAATGGAGGGTAGTTGGTCTTGAGCCTACAGGCCTGAGTCTCGACGTGTAGCCACCTCCACATGGTGAGGTCTGATAATTGGCATCGTTTTCCAAAGTTTTCTCTTTGGAAAGTGATGCTGAGCTAAGAGCTACCCAACAAATTTCATGGTTGGTTATCGTCGAACGTCGTCGCTGAGATACCCTAATTTTAAATTATCGTAATATAGATTGTTAGCCTAGACTGTTCATTGTGCGCGCTTTCTATACCAGATACGCTGTCTAACTCAAAGCGAAAAATAAAAATATTTCATCCTTTTCCTCCGATTCCTTCAGTTCATTGATTAAAGCACGATCGTTAATTCGCATATGCTCAAAAGAAACATCTAGTGCACTCTATAACTCCATGCTTCCGTAAGCCATTATCCTGATTCGACTCTAAAACCCTCTCGAGTCGTTGTCTTCCTTGAACACACGACGAGTTTGTTGGGACATCGTCGGACTTGATGATGCTTCGCGATGTCAAGGCGAGGGTCTACGGCCCTAGTTGTCTCGTGAATCTGCGCATACACGACCCAGATATGGGTCTTATTAAAGAACATTATTAATTCGACGGCTACCTTAGTTCTCATGCGAGTCGTCAATGTCTCAACTTGGGCGAGGACCGATCGCCAATTTTAATTTTTGCTTGCACACCATTTTTAATACCTTCATATTTCCTTTGAACCTCACTTCTACAGGGAATTCAGAGTTACTTGAGGATCTATGGAAACGAAAGATATTAATGTCGCAAAAGTAAAGCCTTTAAAATTTAGTATACCGAATCATATTTCCTTTTATAAAACACTGATAGTAACTTAACTTCCATTTTCCTATTTTAAGTTAGATTAGCGTCTTTCTTTTACATCTTAGATCTAGAATGCGCTATTATCTAATATCCCATCCTAAGTTATGAAAGTTCTTTTCGGACTTTGAAAATTTAGAATATGTTACAGACACTGATGCTAAAATATAAATTAATATATACAGAGAAGTATAGATTAGTATAAATTAATATATTGATTTTCGCATTATAGAAGATAAGAGACGACGTATACTTTTTCAACTATAAACAATTTGAAACGTAGAAGTGTACTAAGTCATACATCACATAACAAATTGAATGATAAGACTACCACATATCAAAAAAAGAATGACGTTAACCATATTTCATGAAATTTGAAATATCTATGACATAAATTATGCAATCTATAAATTATAAGCATAAGTTATAATTTGATAGTTACAAACTATTAATTCTCACTACTACATTCTAATCTTACACGATGCTGAATCGATAACAATGGAAACGATACTAAAATGGTAAACAGTTTATTAAAATGACATTTCAGCTTATTTGTTTTCTTAAAAATTGAAAGTATAGTAATCGTCGTTCATTTACTTGCAATTAATATTTAAGATTGAAAAGTTAGCATAATTAAAACTAATGTTAATCTTTATAACATTACGAGAATAACCATATAGTAGCGACATCTTACAATCGTATGGAATTGTGTATGTATTGTTAATTTCAAGACACAGGGTATTTCTCAAGGGTTGAGGTCCTCACGATCGCAAAATGGCACGCGGATAGTAAGAATTATCAAGAAATATAATAAAAAATATTTACGGCGAACGATCGTACCGAATAACGATGGCGTCGGCTTACATTAAAGATGAACAAGGTGATAAATTTCGTTTCATTCAGTCATTTGATTTATTTTAACCATTGCATTATTTATAACCTGTAACATGTAAACAACTTTTATTTCACAAAACTTAAGTCAAACCGTGATAATTATTTTTCTTGAAATTATTAATAAATACTACAAATGTTTATAATAGGATACATGTAGTGTCTTAAATAAAACCCACTAAAATTAATATAAGAAGGATATTTAAAAGGTATGTCTATGTTAATTCATAAAATTCAATTTTTTATTTTAAATTTTTTTATAGGTGGAACATTCATCCCTGCCAGTCAACGTCCAGATGGCACATGGCGTAAGCCACGTCGTGTTAAAGATGGTTATATACCACAAGAGGAAGTTCCACTGTACGTAATAATTTATAAAAGAAATGTTAAACATTAGTGTTTGATATCGTATATTCTTGCCATGTTCTTTTCAGATACGAAAGCAAAGGTAAACAAATAAAGAATAAACCCATGTATCCAATAGGTGCAAGTCCAGAATTCATAGCAGAGCATAAAGCTAAACAAGAGGCATTACTAGCAGCAAAATCTAAAACTGTTCCGGGTGCACAGATTAAAACAGAAGTTAAAAAGAAAAAAAAAAAAAATAAAAATAAAACAACGGAACGTATAACAGAAGAATTAGCTAAAACTACACTCTCAGAATCAGATCAAAAGAAAGAATCATCGTCACATAACAATAAATCACAAACTAATACAAAGACAATACCCAATAATCAGCCTTTAACGTTGAAACCAAATGTTTCAGCTCAATCTGAAACTATAACACCAGATCCACAAAAAAGGTTGAGAAATTTAAGAAAAAAAATTAGAGAAATTGATGCATTGGAAGAAAAGATAAAAAATGGACTGTTAAAAAATCTAGATGAGGAAATACTTGATAAGTTGGCAAGAAGAACCAAAATTTTAAAAGAAATAAAACGATTAGAAACAAGTCAATAGAAAGAAGGAGTTGAAAAAAAGTATATTTACATACTCTCATGGAATATCACTTTATAGTTGTACCTAAGCAAATGTGTTTTTCAAATTTTTAAAAATTTTAATATGATCTTATGTAATGTCACACTTTCATCCTCTTTATACAGTAAATGAATAGCAATATAAAAATGTACATTTATATACAGAAGATAAAAATTAAATACTAATGAATTTAGTATGCTATAACATCACTATGTGAAAGACCAATCAGATTTTAATAAAAATTGTTTTTGCATATTATATGTTGTTATTTATATCATTAGAAATAAATATATCTATAACAGTAAAATTTATTTACATTTTTTAAATTCCTGACAAATTTAATGAAACTTCACTCAAGTACTAGGGATTTTGCATGCTGGACGCACTGACTAGCTTTATCTTCTTAGCTACTACAAAATTCCTACACTGCAATATTCTATGTTGCAACTACTATGTACAATGCCTGTCTATAAACTTTTACCTTTATTATATTTGCGTGGATGAAATTTTGTAATTTCTGTTTAGTATAATACTATGTATAACCAAAATGATATTCAGTGGAATCCAAGTGACGAAAAGATCGAAACACAAATTAAAATGAATATTTGATGACTGATTATTGATAAATAAATAATTAATGAGATTGAACTGATTAAAATTCGATGCCTCTCGGCAATAAACCCGAATGTGTCAAGTGTGGGACTCGAGAAACCCCACTTTGGCATTCAACCGAAACCGGTAACCTTTGCAATGACTGTCTTGAAGAAGAGAGAAATTCTGAAGCGAATTCAAACATAAAAAACGAAGACGAAGATAAAGGGGGATCATTAAAACCTACTAGAAGAAGTACAAGGATTACAAGATATTGTAATTCTAAATCAGTTCCACACAAAATTATACCTAAGGGAAAAGGAAGAAGAAATTTATTCAAAAAAACTGTATGTTTCTTGATTTTCTAATTTTGGAGTCCTTTTGGAATCCTTTTGGAAAGGACAACATTTTTTGTTTTCTATTTTTAGCCGGTTAAAGCACCAACAGCTACAGCAACCCCTGTTACAAGTAATTATGTATTTTATAAAGGCACTTATTTCCAAATAGGTGATATAGTTTCTATGCAGGATATTGATGGAGGAATTTATTATGCTCAAATTCGTGGTTTACTCACAGATCAATATTGTGAAAAGAGTGCTGCTGTTACTTGGCTTTTACCAACCAGTGCAAGGTAAATTATTAAAACATGTGGTAGTTCATTTATTAGTCTCAAAATATCAAAAGTAGTAAACTTATGTATTACATATTTAGTCCACCACCTGATGAAGGATTTAGTCCAGAGACATATATTATAGGACCAGAAGAAGATCTTCCACGCAAATTGGAATGCATGGAATTTGTAATGCATGCTCCATCAGATTATTACAAATTAAAAAATACATCATATCCACCATCACTTACAGAACGGGGTAGTGGATATATATGGACTACTCTTAGAAATGAAATTGCTACATCGAAAAAATGAACTTTTATTTTTAAATTAGTTATTGTAAAATCTTTTGTGTTAATATTACGGTTCAATTTCTGATGTATATAAAAAATTGGTATAGAAAAATAAAGCAACATAACTAAGATATATCTATAACTACTTTAAAAATAAAAATTATCATGAATTATTGTAATATTTATTACATATTTCTTTAATACAATGTAACATTATCATTTAGTATTATCTTTGATAATAATTAGATGGAAGTGTTCACAAATGAATTAGCATTAAATATACTGTTTAAAGATAATAATAGAAATGCAACTTCATTAATATTATATGAGACTATATAGGAATGATAATGCAATCTTTATAAAATATAATATCAGTATTTCTAGATTCATAAATTTTTACCTTCTTTCATGTATGAGCATGATACCTTCAATACTTGAGGCCCTTATTTTTAAAACCACAAATAGAAATAACTTTTCAAATTTCATAACATAGATCCTCTTCCTTGAAAATCTTCATTGCTTAACTTTGATATTACTGAGATGAGATATATGAAGAATTTGTGGACAGTATTGGTGCATTCTCATTCACTTGAAGGGAGGAGAAAAAAACCCTTGTGGTATCACTTGCACTTGAAATTGTAGTTGAAACCAGTCAGCTTGGAGCCAACGAAGTAACGGCTGGTCAGAATTTGAGATCTTTTATAGCTTGTGGTAAATCAGGCAACTTCATATCCTTTATCTGCTGTGGTATGTTCATATTCTTGACAGCAGAAACAGCACGCGCCGGCGCTGCTGTGATTCCTGCCTGCACATACCATATGGATGGAAAAATGGAAAATGGAAAAATTTAAAGGATTTTCGAACTTAAATTAATTAATAGAAGTAAATACAAATGAATAGCTACGCAATACACATTTTATTCTTAGAGCATAGCGACATATACATTTGTATTAAGGCACTGTTACCGAGCAGACATTTACAAACGATAGCACCATCATGCGTGTTATGAATATTCATTTTGTTAAGCTACGAGAGATTTATGTTTTGAAATTCTTGGTGAAAAAAGATCACAGATAGATTACATAAAGGAATGAATGTGTACAAAATGATCTGATATTTTACTGCCGATTTACTTAGGGAGGGGGCCCCAGAAGGACAAACGGACGAGGTGAGCAAGATCGTCCTGATTTGTAAGTTCCCTAAAATTCATGTTAGGTCAATCAGTCCTACCACCATATGAAACTGCTCTACGAAACATTCCAATGCATGCATAGCTAACGAATAAACTGCTATAGGCTGTTAACTTCTTTAAGCCCAGAAGACTTTTTAATAAAAAATTGAATGTCTTTTTCTTTATATGTTTGCTTTACTACTCCAAAATTTGGAAAAAATAAAATTTAATTGGGCCCAAAAAGTTAAGGGATATTTGCATAAATTAGTCATTACAACTGTAATTTAGTGACTTAAACTTTATCACAGTGCACTGCTATATTATGTACAGGATTTGTTATCTTTAATATTCATGAATTATACAGATAAAGCTTAAACATACAACACATATATTGATTTCTTAAATGCTGACTATAAGATGTGACTTACCTCTTGTTTTTCCAGTTTATTCTGATCTTCAATTCTTGTAAGAATTTCAGTCATATTGGTTTCCAAAACCATTCCTCCCATCACTAATTCATTAAGAATATAATGAACTTTGTCTACATGAAAAATAAGGTCAAGTTCACATACATTTTCAAAACATTTATCTAATGTTTCTACAAAAACTTGTATTAAATCTAAAATTCCCAATTCTGACTCTGAACTATCAACACAGAATACAAAATATAATGTAGCATAATGTCGATAAATCAATTTATAGTCAGATCCACCAATTAAACTTCCACCTTCTAAAAAATTACAAACATTATCATCCCTCTTTGAAACAAGTTGAAATGTTTCTTTTATTATCTGTTGTTGCATATCCTCATTCTGAAGAAAAAAAGTAGTCTATTAAATACTACAGTAAATTATAATAACAGATTGTAACCACTGTTATACTTACAAAGTATTGATAAAATTTAGAAAGTCTAGGTTTTCCATGATTATTAAATACTAGAATGGCCTTAATCATGATTGATGATCAATTAAATAGATAAATTATAATTTTATTATAGAAAAAACAAATGTTCATTTATCCGAAGGTTAGTTACAAATGTCAAAAATGTAATTCAGAAATAATTATTAATTTCTTTATCAAGGAAACTTCATATAATCAAGAAAATAAAAAGAACCACTTAAGCAATATTTAGCTATAGACTTTAAGCATATAAATATTTCATTTTGCCGCTAAACTTTGCATTTTCTTCTTTTTAAGCTTCTTAACCTTTCACTAAACAACGTGACGTTACACCGGCAATTAATAGTAGTAATTTTATATAATAGTTAATTGAAAATGTATCATTTAGAAATTACAGTAATTGCATGCATTGAACCGAAATCACAATAGAATATAACTTTTTTTTATAACTGTTTCTCATTCTGTGTGAACACTATACTATTACCATAGACGAACTTCATCTAGCTGTTACTGCTGTTACTATCCAATAAACAATGAAATTCAGATAATTATCACTAGATGGTACTACACTCGCGTAAAAAGATCTGATTCAAACCATTTCAAACCAGTCTGTGACACGTCAAACCTGTAACCACGAAAATCGGAATAAAAGTTTTTTCTCTTTTTTATTTTTGTATTATTCATATTGAAATGTCATCAGAATTCTGCGATGTGTTTCCGTAAATCGTGAGTCTGGTCTTACGATAGAAGTAAATGGAAAGTTGTCAAATGCAGCGTAACGCAATCATCGTATTTCGAGGGTAAAAAATAGTTTATAACATATGTAACTTAAGAACTGAATTTTTATGTTTATATTAACATTTAATACGATTTGATACAATTTATAGAAATAGATAAATCTTTTGTTATCCAAAATAATAAATAATATACATTTACTATATTAACGTTTTCCATAAAATTCATGTTTACTGTTAATACATCTGTAATTAAATAAACTCTTCGAGAACTATGTTTATATACTATGCAGATTTTTGTGACATTTGACTTGTCTAGAAAAATGTTTCAAAATCTTTTACACTACTTTTTTTACATTAGATAAAAATATTGTCAACTAATTTTGTAAATTAGATACATTTGAAAAATATATGAAAGCTAGATTTAATTTTGATTTATCCTGAAAATCTATATTATGGTTATATAATTACGGATCACATGTAAGAAATCAGGAATTATACGCTGTCCTTAAAAGGTTAATCTGTCAGGTGTATTGTCAAATTTCAATTTCATTGAAATAAGTCTAAAAAGCTTAACCTATATAACATTTAATTTATTATATTCTAAATTTAATTCTAAAATACTTATTTCATTTACCAATATTATTATTAATGTTAATTATTTATGCTTCAAATGATTATTTTTATTATAAAGTGCACATATTAAAATACAATTAATATATTTTATTAAATAAGAAAATTTATGACAAGAATTATTTTCATTGTTAATAAACAATGAGTAGAATTTGTTTAAAAATTGATATAAAAGAATGTATATTATCTGTTCTTAGATGGACAAATTGCGATTATTGCCATTGGAATTGCCATCAACCACCAATATAAATAATAATGGAACAATTAAAGGAAAAATATCATTTGTTCGAAGATTAGCAGTAGGATTTGTAATCTTGGCTACATTAGGTTTATTGTATGTACCCGCATACCATTCTGCCCAAGGTCCATTTTTAGGCTTAGGTGAGACCCCATCTCCTGCAAAGCATATTGGTGTTTCACATTTGGTAGCCTCAGTAGGTATGCATTCACTAACATTGCTAAAGCCTTTGTTGTGTTATAAACTAACAAGACTTAATATATAAATCAACTATAGATATCTTTCACAAACTATAAATCAGTTTCAAATTTAAATTTTATAAATTATTTTAATGTAGCTTAAAAAATTCTGTAGGAATTATATAAATAAATGTAGTTATACAGAAAAACATATTTACATATTACATATTAAATATTCAATAAGACAAGAAGTCAAATAAATATTTTTATTATAATAATAAATAATGTATTTAGTTATGTATCTTAGGAATTTATGTTAGAATTAGCAAAAATAAAAATAAATTTGAATAGCAGAAAAGGCATTAGCAGTATAATTCAATTTTCCTGTTACCATCCGCTTATAGTAGAATGCTTGAATGATGCTAAATTAAAGTAATTATTTAATTTTATTAGGCATGCATAAAGTCAAAGCTTAAGGGAAAAAAATATTGTAAATATGCAAATATAATATATTTAATAGAATTAGAATAAAGGATTTTTTTAAATAAATAATTTACAGCACAGTTGCCAGGATGGACATATAATACTTCAAGAGATCTTTCTGTATATATTCATCCAGAAAATACAACTTCAGTTTTAAATCCTGTTGGTATATGTTCTCCATTGCCATATCTTTTCATAGTTATTTGTTCAGCTGTTACGAATATCAAAGCTCGAACAGCTATAAGAAATACATGGGCTAATAAAAGTAATTTAGATAGTACATACAACTCAACTGTAAAGATAGTATTTCTTCTGGGACAAAGTGATAACGATACACTTAATGTATGTACCTATGTACTTATGATAAAAATGCAGTTGAAGTTTAATTAAATTAAATGAAAATTATGTCAATAAAATCAATAATAAATTATATTACAGAATATAATAGCCAGTGAAAGTCATCAACACAATGATATTATTCAGGAAAAATTTTATGATACATATAATAATTTAACATTGAAGTCTGTAATGATGTTGAAATGGGTAACATCAAATTGTGGTCAAGCAAAATATGTTATGAAAACAGATGATGACATGTTTGTAAATATTCCTACCTTGATGAAAACTTTACAATCAAGATCACAAACTACAGATACATTATTAGGTTCTCTCATTTGTAATGCCAAACCTATTTTGGATCCAAATAATAAATGGTAAGTAACATTCATATGATTAAAATAAATGTAAGATAAAGCTGTAGTCCAAACAAATATGTTTAATTAGGTATACACCAAAATATATGTATTCAGAGAAAATATATCCTAATTATTTATCTGGTACGGGATATGTAATGAGTTTAGATGTTGCATTTAAATTGTATGATGCAGCATTAACAACACCATTACTTCACTTGGAAGATGTGTATATTACCGGTCTTTGTGCAAAACATGCAAAAATACGACCTGTAAATCATCCTGGTTTTAGTTATATTCCACGTAAATTGGATCCTTGTACATTAAGAAATGCTATTACAGCACACAAAGTAAGTGTGTCTAATATGTATGTAATATGGGGTAAATTGAAAGATACAAATTTCTTTTGCAATAGTCATTCTCATACTGATAAGAAATCAGATAAGCAGAAATTAAGCAGAAATGGTAGAAATATTGGATACTATATGGTGAAAAGAAGAACTATCAATAAATGTGTTTAAATTAATTGATACTTTTAAGCATCAAACCAATTATTTATTATTGATTTAATATTTGTTATATCAAACTACTACTAGAAAATAGGTCAATGAGTATTCTCTTATATTAGGTTGTTCCATAAGTTCTTTCCGCGTCACGCTATGTATGTCCTCGAGCTATGTTTGTAAACATGCAGGATTATCAATTCTCCATTTATGGCATCGTATCATGGCATCATACCATAATATATATAATTATACTATATAGGCATAAATCAACCTTAAACAACAAATATCGTCTGTTGATTTGGCATCAAAGAAAAAAGGAAGAAACTTTTGAGACACCCTAATAATTACAAAACAAAGTCACACTACAATTAATGCTAGTGGAGAATTTTTTGTAACCTATGGTAAGAGAGATTTGTAATTAATATTTGAATGAGGGTTTTACAGACTATTTTTCCATTTGAATAGTAATAGTTTTTAAGAAAGTACTGTCAATTAGACTTGCTATGTAAGTTAAGTTCCTTACAAAAATTTTTATAATTGAATACAAAACATTGGTCTGATTTATAGTTTAAAAAGTACAAATTTTTTTAAATTTATTTCAATTATTAAGTATTTAAAACTTAATTAATTGCTTCCGATTATTTTAAAATTAGTATTAAGCAATTTTCGAGAAAGATATGTTACTTGAATGTCACGAGAACAGACAAAAAGTTAACATTGAGTAGCGACGATAATTTAACATATCAAATTTCATATGATAAATTAATCAAGTGTTTTCCATATTTTTATCATGCTTCTTCTAGAATATCATTAACCTCGATAAATATAATTAATAGGTTTCTAATACTAATTAAAAACCTATGTTTTATATTCATATTGTGTAAATATTACGATAACTGCATTTTATATTGTATTGCGTTTATAGAAAAAAATTTATTATAGTATTGTTTATAAAAATCTATAGTTCATAAAAATTTACTTTATAAATTTCAAAACCTTTTAAAAATTTCATAAATATTTTATTATTCTGTGTTATAAAATATTTAAAATTTATTCGTTATTTTGAATTTATTTTCCTTAAGCGATAATGTTTATCTTTCTGAATATAACGAATGAAGAAATATAACCGACAGCAAAACAAAATATATAAAGTACGTTATAAGTGTATGTGCTCTACACTTATTGTCTAAATGTAAAGAAATTTCTCTGAAATATATATTTGACTTTTTCACAATTCTAAGAGAATTGTTATAAGGATATATATACATACATATTTTGCTATTTGTATTTATTGCCGTAACTTTTAATAGATATTTCTTTAATGAAAGTTTACTTTATTTAAGGTTGTATATTCAAAATTATGCAACATCGATATTTTTGACACTCAAATGTTGTAATTATTTCAATAACTGTGTTGTACAATTTTCAAATTTAGCATTTGTTGTTTATTACCTACAGCGCTGTAATTATCAGTAATTGACATTGTATACAATTTCGGAAATGTAATTCGAAATGTTAAAAGTAGCAAATTTATCCATCCAGATTTAATACATATGTCTTATGCAAAATACCATTGTTAGAATCGTATTATAATATTAATTTAAATATGAACATGAAATTTTATAAAAGTTCGTTATAATGTATCAATTAATACTAGTATTAATACTAATAATGGTAATTGCATTTCTTATATTACGACTAATCGAATTGATTACCATTTTATACGATATTTTAAAAGGGACTACATTACTTGCTAATCCTAGTGCAAAGTACATCATTAGTGCACCAATGTTTAAATCAATTATTAGCTCAATTAAGTAATATGAATTCATACTTATTAAGCTTATCGAGTGAGATTCATTCACTAGTGAAAACAGAAGATTATTGATAACTCTACGGAATATTCTAGTGGCCTTAGAAATCTTGTTTTATTTTATATAAATATATTGCTCGGAAAATTAAACTTCGAAGTTTCTCTAGCATGTTACAAAATTTGGTGCTATATAGTAATTAATTATATGTTCACTGAATATACTTTTGTACAAGTCATCATTTAATTTTTACAAAAACTAAGTTTTACACGATAAGAGAAATGTATTTTTTAAAATGAAATCGATGAATTTTAATAATAAATTTTTATTGAAAATATTATCATGCTTGTTATTCCTTAGATGAACTGTACACAAGTGAATACAGTATTAATAAATACGAAAATTTAATGATACATTTATCTTTACAAATTCATATACATATACATATGTACAACTGATTTGTTACGCACGTTAATCGAATTGCTACTATTGTGTAATCCATTAATAAATTATACAACAAAAAGAAAAATGTTTATAAGGCTATGAGGAAATGTGTTTTGTTTTGTTTTATTTTTCCCTCTTCATACAAAAGAAAGATATACCAACAATACTTGCAATAAATCATTATTTCATAAAATTTTAATTAATAACATCATATTTACAAAAATACTAATTATATATTTAGAAAATAAATACACAATAGATATATTATATGTGTTTATAAGATAATTATTATATGCATAAATATTTATACACAGCTAAAAGTGATTTTATAAGTATCTAATTACAGTATTTTTTATTTAAAACTTCTGAATATTTTTGTTCTATTCTTTTACTTTTCTTTTCCTTTCTTTTTTTTCTTTTTCAAAGGCTTAATTTTATTTGCTACAATATTAGTTTCCATTATTTTCTCTGTTACAGATTTTATATTTTTTCTAGTATTTTTTTCTTCTATGGATTCTTCAGTATTGAAATGAACAGCTTTTAAACTTTCTGTTATTTTGGTTAATTTACTTTTTTCTTTCTTACGTAATTTTGCATGTTTCTTTTTTGATATTCTACTATTTAAGTAATCTATCTTCTTTTTAAAATATGCGTCAGGTAACTCTAATAGAGACTTGGCTGTCCGCACTGATGAACTTTTCACTTTATGCGAATCTATTGGTATTTCATTACAAGAAAGTTTTGTTTGAAATTTACACTCTAATGTTTTAATATCTTCATCTTTAATCAAATTTAGTAAATCAGATGTCTGTACATCTGAATCACGTTTATGTGATCTTTTAAGTTTCTTTGCGTGTGATCCACTCAGTTCATCGTCTTCCCATACACTAGTGATATTCTTATATCGAATATCCTGATTTTTCTCCTTTTTTAATTTCTTCTTTTTATTCTTCTTTTTCTTCTTCTTTTTTGTAGATATAGATATATCCATATATTTGTTTTCAACATGATTATTTACTTGTTCTTGAATATTCTTTTTAATTATTTCTGTCCATGATTTTTGACTAATTGGGAATGATGTACCATTTAGTTCATCATCTACTTTTTCCTTTTCAATACTTTCAACATTAAACGACATTAAATATTTTTTCTCCTTCTTTCTTTTCCTCTTTCTACTTTCTTCTTTCTTTTCTAATTTTAATTCTTCTTTTGACATAGTATGTACTCTTTTTTTATCATTATCACTTACATTACATAGAACATTTAACTGATGACTCAAGTCATTTATGAATACTTTGTTTTTTTTTTTACTGGTTTTGTGTATTATAGGAACTATTGCACTTTCACAAGAAGTTTCAGGTAGTATTATGTTTTCATCGTTAATCTTTTTGTATTTATTGCTTTCAGATATGTTATTATTGTTTTGCAAATTTGTTGACATGCTTCTGTATGAGTTTAAATTTAATAATTGCTTTTCTTGTTGGGCAATTCTTTTTAATTTTCCATTTAATGTTAATCCATGTCTAGCCCCTTTGTGAGCAGTTCTACCACCACATATTTTAAATATCTCTTCATCTGTGAAAGGGATACGACTGGAATTTTCTTCAATATTTTGTTTCTCACATATATTAGAATTATTTTCTACCACTAAATTGCCATTTAATAATGTAGAAGCCTTAAAAAAATTTCCATATTTGGATTTTTCTGTACTTAAATCTTGATAATCATTAAGATAATCATCAGTTGCATTTTCTTTTGAAACAAATATAGAAACCCCATGAGTTTCTGATTTAACTGTAATACTACTAGCTGCATTATTAAAAGTACTTTCCCACCAATTATTCCAATCTTTATCTTTATGTCCCACTCCTGTTGTATCAAATTTCAATTTTGGTTTTAATGCTTCTGTAATACCGCTTTCATGTTTGCCTAAACCTTTGCCTATATTAATAAAAAATTAAGAAAACATTTGCAAGTATTTTTTATAAAACTGGTCCCATTTATTCGTATAACATGGCATATATTTTTTAAACTATGAGAATATATTTAATATTAATTAATTTAACAACAAAGTAGAGAAATAAAAAATTAAATACATATTCTGAACATATAACACGTAATAGAAATTGTAACTTTATTATATTATGATAGTACTTTCAAAATCATACCTTCTGTCCAACCATACTTCATAAGCTGAGATTTTGCAAAATCATTCATAATTAAACTTTTGCTATTGTAATTTCATGTAAAATACTCTTATTTAGCAACCTACAAATACAACACAATTTACGAGCGGTACACGTTTTCATCAGCTAGGAGTGTAAGCAAGCTAGTAAATGAAAATCGTATCATTTTTGGTACGTTGAAATTTTCGTGATACTCGCATGGTGGCGTTACAATAGATTTATGCGCTAGCATTCGATTCTCAAGAATTTTGTCCAATTTTAATATCCAAACGACTTTCATAAATTATTTTAAATACATTTAGTTTTGTTATTTTAAAATAAACATTTTACTACTAATTTAAAATTTATTGTATCTATTTTGTTAAAATCTTATTATCTATTTTCATTTATATATATATATATGCATACACGATTTATACATATTTTGCTAATAAAAAATTTTTAGATATATGCAAGACATAAAATGACGTTATCATTACTAGTAGGAACTGTAATCAATTATATAATGGTATCGAATGAACAGAAAATTTCTATTCGGCATTAAAATAAAATATATTGAAAATATATATTAATATGTATGCCATACATCATAGTTGTTACAAAAAAGATGTTCAAGCCACCAGATAGTTCAACAACTTGTCCGTGATTTGACGTTCATTAGCCAACAACACATAAAGAATGTCTTTATAATATGCATCTTGTCCTAACGTTAACTTGTACGTTTGCTATGATAATTTTGCGCGCCCCACCATTATACAGCGAAATTTATTCGATGCAAACTACCGATATTGTTCGATGGTATGGAAATGAACAATCTTAAACAGTGGGCTTGATATAAAACACGTTTAATATCAACATTATCATCAGAATATTTAATTATATTAAAAACGTAAAGAGGTTTGTAAACTTCATTTCTTTATATATAATTGTGATATTTTACAAAATTTGTAATAATTTTTTTTTTAATCTAATATGACTTAATTGTAACAACGTATAAAAAACCTTTTGCGTAAATATTTTATCTCAATTATATTTTTTAATACGTGTTAAAATAAATGAAATCAAGAAACATTTTACTTTAATTAAATTAATTGAATTAATGTTGTGTAATTTGTTTTGATGATATTATGAACATTTATGATTCAATATTTCTAGATATATTTCGCGTATTGTTATCATTGTTATTATTATTATTCATGTTCTTTAAAATTAACATACATCTTTTGGATCAATTTAGGTGCATATTTATATTAAAACAGAATGGCATTCCGTGAATTAGTAGAAGGTGATTGTGGAGGACCTAGTTCTTTGATTCGTTTAACATCACACTTTGTGCGTGATCATGGATTCAAAGAAGAAGGGCTACATTATCCTTTTGAGCATGTGGAACCTTTTCAAGCTTCAGATTCAGATCAGTTAGTTAAACAATTTTTAGAAGAAAATCCTTCACGTCCTCAAACATTTAGAATGGACAATTTATTACAAGAAATGCGTGAAATTGATCAAAATATTCATCCACCTATAGCGGCACCAGGAGTTGCTCAAGAATTAACCAGTTTAGATACAGCTTGGGCAAATCAGTATCTTGAATCGGGACGCCATTTTAATGTAATATTTATTTTATTATTAAAGTTCATATACTAACAGCATTATATTATAAAACAATTTCGTATTGTGTATTCTATTAATATAGGAGCACCATGCTGATGATATTTGGCATCCTGAAGTAGAACAAAATTCAAATGATTTAAATCACCAAAAACATGAATTAGGATTAGGACCAAAATGGGCAGAGGAATACATAGAACATAGCATAGATGCTTTACAAAGTAACATAAATATGGAACATTCAACAGAAGCAATAGAAAACAATGATAATCCTAATTTTGAATATTCAAAATTCATGAAATTTATGAAACAAGAAGGAGATATCCCTGTAGAAAACAATCAAGAGTCACTGCCAGATCTTCATAATGCAAGCAAAGAGTGGATAGAACAGTATGACAATGATAATGAAACATCTGAAGACAAAATTTCTATTAGTGACAGTCAAGAAAATGAAGTAGCAAATAAACAACAAATAGGAGAAGAACTAGCTGTTGCTGGTAATTGGATAGATGAATTTCAGAAAGAAGATATTTCCTCAGGTTAGTAGATATATGAATAATAAATTGATACATGTTATGAATTTCTTTCAATAGACATTTTTATTTCAGAAGTAGACAATTATGAGTCTACATTTTTAAAACTTCAAAATGAATGGGAAAAGATTTCATCAGCTGAAGAATTATCTTCCAAGCATCCATGGCTTTCAGAGTATGATACTTTTTATGATCCGTTTAAAGATTATGAATTTCATGAAGAAAATCCTATGAAAAGTTTACCTAATGCATTAGAAGAGGGTAAGAAAAGATTAGAAGCTGGAGATTTACCAAGTGCTATACTTTGCTTTGAAGCAGCAGTTCAACAAGATGAGAATAATTCAGAAGCTTGGTTATTACTTGGTAAAACTCAAGCTGAAAATGAACAAGATCCATTAGCCATTTCTGCACTAAAACGTTGTCTAAATTTGGACCCAGCAAATGTAGCTGCTCTTATGGCACTTGCAGTTTCATATACAAATGAATCATACCAAAATCAAGCATGTGTAACTCTTAAAGAATGGCTATTAAAAAATGAAAAGTACAAACATCTCTCAATACAAAAGCCTAACAGTGAGCAAAACTCAAAGTCAAATGTATCATCTATTCTATTTAAGTAAGTAAGAAATTTAATAATATATGTCAGGAATACAGTTGTATTTAATAATATTTTATTTATTTCTTTTAGCGATGTGCATGAAGAAGTAAAAAACCTTTATATTCAAGCTGCACGAATAAATCCATTGAATGAAATAGATCCAGATGTGCAATGTGGATTAGGGGTACTTTTTAATTTATCTAATGAATATGATAAAGCTAGCGATTGCTTCCAAGCAGCGCTACAAGTACGTCCTCATGTATGTATTAAATGAAATTCTTCTGTTATTTATTAGTAATTGTTAATACATTATCAAAGGCATAATATTTTCGGAAGGATTCTAGATTATGGAATAGATTAGGTGCAACTTTAGCTAACGGTCAAAAATCGGAAGAAGCTATAAATGCGTATCATCATGCTTTAAAATTGTCACCTGGATTCATTAGAGCTCGTTATAATCTCGGAATTTCATGCATTAATCTAGGTGCATTTAAGTAAGTAAAATTTTGTTAACATTATATACATTTTTTTGCACTATGAAATCATTCTATCACTTTTATAGGGAGGCAGGTGAACATCTTGTAATAGCTTTAAACCAACAAGCTGCCGGTCGTGGAATTCAAGGCGAAAGTTTTTCACCGAAAGCAATGTCGAACACCATTTGGTCAACATTGAGAATTGTCATTTCACTAATGCACAAATATCACTTAACTGAAGCAATAGAGAACAGGTATGAGTTAGTAAGTACTTTTTAAGGAAAACTATCAATTTTTGTTACATAAATGGTACTCTTTGTTATTTCAGAGATCTAACAAGGTTGAATAAGGAGTTTGAAATTGTATAAAAACTTGTTGAACTCGTTTGTTAAAAAGTATAAACTCTTTTTAACTTAGTATTTAAGATATCGTAAAATAAAATGATTAAAAATATTTTTCGTAGTTGAGAAGTGTATATACAAACAAAAACTAAAAGGATACTATGATATAATTTTTTATTATAAAAGGGGTCGATTTAAACATATTAAATATCACAAAACTAATTGTTTAGAAACTAATTTGTTGAATATCTCTAATAGGTGTACAATTTCGTATTGTTTCATTTTATATAAATTGAAAGGGATTATAGATGTAATAAAATTGTTACGCATTTAATAAAAATTAGTTAAAATAATTGAATTCCTAAGAAAAATAATTAAATAAATAAGAATCGGCAATATTAAAGTGAAAAGTGAAACGGAACGATCAGACCTAAGGATCAAATAATTTCTATTTCCCCTTTTCTCTCTCTTTTTTTTTTTTTTTTT